ATTCCATGTGAAATAGCTGCAAAATACAACAATTTTTTTTTTTTTTGGCTGTTTTTTTATTTAACTTTTGTCTGATTAGAGGAGGAAATACTTTGTTACTTGGCTGCTTCCAATTTCTTTAGTAGAAGTAAAGCAATTCAAGATAAAAAGAATTTGATTCAGAAATGAAAAATTTTTCTTGCTTTTGGGTTTTTATTGAAGGCTTGCAAAACTGTTTGACCATTTTGGCTAAATTTTATGTCGATCCAATATGGTTATTTTAAATAAAGAATATAACGTTTAATTTAATTACTGTAGCTTAGAACCATTATTTAGTATCTAAAGTTTTTTTTTAGGTTAACTGAAAACTGTGACTGTTTTAAGCAGACATTGTTCATTAGGATTGATGTAAAATAAAAATTTATATTTTAAGCAAAGATTTTGAGTTGGAAAAGTATGTGAAATTGCAACAAAAGAAAACTTTTACTTTTTTGTTTGCAAATGAAATTTAAAAAGATTATTGAAATATACTCTTTTTTTTTGCATTATGACGTTTATAAAGTTAAGTTTTTTTTGTCTTATTTGATAGTCCTCATTGGCGATACTATAGATACTACCTTCTTGGGATTAATGAGCATGAAAAACTTGAGTTGCAGCTAAACTTTAAAAAAATATATATATATAGTGTAAACTTCAGTTTTTTTTTATAAATATTAGGTTAATGAATAATAAAAAAAAAAAATTGGCAGCAAATTGTTCCTGAACTTTTGTTTGTTCAGAAGCTAATTTAGTCATCGGTTATTATGACAGAAAAAGATGGAGCGCTTGGATATAAATGTTAAGTGTATGCGTAAATATAGTAAAAAATGTGAACAAATACATCAATGATTATACAAATGCATTTATTTATTTATTTATTTATTCACTTTTTTTTGTTTTTTATTTGACAAATTACAATTGGGAAAAGAGTTAAGAACTTTAAAAGTAAAAGCAATGTGGTTAACATTATATCACTATTAACATTTAAGGTAACTGTAAAAAAGAAAAAAAAGAGTTTTTATAGACTGTAGATTAAATTTG